TTTTTTGAGACAGAGCCTCAAGCTATCCCCCTGGGTAGAGTGCCATGGCATCACAGCTCACAGCAACCTCCAACTCCTGGGCTCAAGCGAGTCTCCTGCTCAGCCTCCCAAGTAGCTGGGACTACAGGCGCCCGCAACAACACCCAGCCATTTTTTGGTTGCAGCCATCATTGTTGTTTGGCGGGCCCGGGCTGGAGATTCGAACCTGCTACCTTAGGTGTATGTGGCTGGTGCCTTAGCCGCTTGAGCCACAGGCGCCGAGCCGAAATTCCTTTTTTTAAAAGCAAACTTTTCATTGAAGTGTAACATAAGGGAGTGCACAAATTGTAACTGCATGCTCAAGAATTTTCACAAAGTCCACACATCTGTGTAACCAGCACCCAGGTCAGGAGCAGACTATTACCAGCACCCCAGGCCCCTTAGTCACTATGCCCTCAAGGGTAATACTGTCTTTACTTTGAACAAAATAGATTAGTTTTGCCTGTTTTAAAACTTTAGGTATATCTCTGCTCACCTTTCAAATGTTTCATTGCTAGCATGTGCTCGTGGACCATCTTCTGATTTTTTTTTTTTTTTTTTTGAGACATAGTTTCACTTTGGTAGAGTACTCTGGTGTCAGAGCTCAGGGCAACCTCCACCTCCTGGACTTAGGCGATTCTCTTGCCTCAGCCTCCCAAGTAGCTGGGACTACAGGTGCCTGCCACAATGCCCGGCTATTTTTTGTCAGAGCTGGGTTCGAACCCGCCACCCTTGGTATATGGGGCCAGCACCCTACTCACTGTGCCATAGGTGCCACCCTTTTTTGTTGTTGTTTTGTCTTGTTTTTTGGAGACAGAGTCTTTGTCACTCTTAGTAGAGTGCTATGGTGCCATAGCTCACAGCAACCTCAAACTCAGGCTCAAGTGATTCTCTTGCCTCAGCTTCCTGAATAGTAGGACTACAGGCCCCTGACACAATGCCTGGCTATTCTTTTTAGAGACAGGGTCTTGCTCTTGCTCAGGCTGGTCTCAAACTCCTGAACTAAGTCAGTCCACCTGCCTCAGCCTCCCAGTGTGCTAGGATTACAGGCGTGAGCTAATGCACCCAGCCCCTTTTGTTTTGATTCTGTGTATGTCCATCAAAGTTACTGTTTTTACAAAATGATTGCTCAGTGACTTCCTTGGCCTTAACTCATCAATGATTATTTAAGGTATATCTCAGCCTCCTGCTGAATTCTCTGCATATATAGCATGTCCATAAAGTTCGTGTGCAATTTCCTGTGTTAAATTCTTTTAAGTTGCACATGAACTTTATGTCTACCCCGTATAATAGCGAATTTGTGCATTCCAAATGCCTACATGACAGCCCTGTCTGGGCATCTCCCAGCGCCTGGTGCAGGTGCTTGTCTTCCCAGAGCCCGTCACAGGAGCTCATGATGGGCTCTGTCATCTACTTGGGGCATGAGGCCCCCCCCAAACTTAACTCCTAGGGGTCTCAACGATCACAGCCTACCCACCTCACCTCTCTAGCCTGTGCTGCCTCCACATATGCACTCACTGCCTTGGCCACAGCACCTTGCCTTCCCCTACTTCAGAGTGTAAAGCTCCTCCTGTGTGAAGGTCCAAGCCCAGGGTGCCATCCTGCCCAGGAATTCCTCTTCCTTCTTCAGGTTGTCACTGACTGCTTACATTTAATTGCCCTGACTCTGCAGACTGGGTTATATCCCCTTCACATAGACAATATGTGGTTTCATGGTGGCTTTACTTGTCTTTTGTATGATTTTCTACAGAGGTTTTTGGCTGTCTCATTGGGAGAGCAGGGAGCACGTCTCTCTCCTGGCACTCATCACATAATAAATCCTAATTTTTTATTATTTTTTTTTTTTTTTTGAGACAGAGTCTCAAGCTGTTGCCCTGGGTAGAATGCCCTGGCGTCATAGTTCACAGCAACTTCTAACTCTTGGGTTCAAGTGATTCTCTTGCCTTAGCCTCCCGAGTAGCTGGGACTACAGGCACCGGCCACAATGCCTGGCTATTTTTAGAGGCAGAGTGTGGCTGTAGCTCAGGCTGGTCTCCAACTCTTGAGCTCAGGCAGTCTATCAGCCTCAGCCTCCCAGAGTGCTAGGATTACACGCATGAGCCACCTTGCCTGGCCTTAATAAATCCTAATAATTGAGCAAATGACTGAGGGCAAAAGGCCAGAGGGAAGGGAGTCCAGCCTGTGACAAGCCTGGGGCTCAGCCTGTGTCCAGGGTCAAGGAATAGAATTTCCTCTATTGGGTCTTTTCTGTCACTTGCCCTTCCCAGCATGGAATCCCCTCCCAGGATCCTTTCCTACCCTGGTGTTATTTTTGGGGTTTTCTGAAGATGTACTTTGTGCCTTGAGGCAAAGGATGAAAGTACCTAGAATAATATAGCGGGTAGCAGGGTGGATCTAGGAGATGGGGAGCTGCCTCCATGGGGTGTATCTCACTATGGGTGTATGGAGCCTTCCCCAGGGAGCCCAAAGGGTATAAAGAGGGACTGGTTTAGGTGGAGCCTCAATCCTCATCCTTCTCTGGCTTTTCTTTCCTCTCAGGGCAGGAGAAAGAGGCGTGGACAGGCTGCTGGGCCAGCTGGTGCCATAATGGCAGGTGAGGAGAGGGGTGGGCCATGTGAGTAGGAAATGGCAGTGAGTGTAGGGTGTGCCTCCCTGGTCTTTTTGTTTGTTTTTTTGCTTTTTTGTTTTTTTGAGACAGAGCCTCAAGCTATCCCCCTGGGTAGAGTGCCATGGCATCACAGCTCACAGCAACCTCCAACTCCTGGGCTCAAGCGAATCTCCTGCCTCAGCCTCCCAAGTAGCTGGGACTACAGGCGCCCGCCACAACGCCTGGCCATTTTTTGGTTGCAGCCATCATTGTTGTTTGGCGGGCCCGGGCTGGGGATTCGAACCCGCCACCTTAGGTGTATGTGGCTTGCGCCTTAGCCGCAGGCGCCGAGCCATCCTCCCTGGTCTTTAGAGGTTGGGTTCTTTCTGTCCCAATGTTCAGGTTCTCCTCTCCCCAGGCCTGTGGTCTGAGAAGCTCAGCATGACCCTGTCTAGCGAACTTCTTGACATCCTCTAGTAGGGATGGCTGGTGAGGATAGAATAGCAAATTGGCCAGTGGCCACAGGGACTGAGGAGGTAGTCCAGCCAGAATAAAAACGGGCATATTGGGGACGGCACCTGTGGCTCAAAGGAGTAGGGCACTGGCCCCATATACTGGAGGTGGCAGGTTCCGGGCCCGGGCAAAAAGAAACTGCAAAAAGAAAAAAAAAAAATGGGCATGTTGGATTCACGGGGAGAAAAACATTTGAGGTGATGCCATGCCATGTGCCTCACCCACAGAGAAAGTGAACAACTTCCCACCATTGCCGAAATTCATCCCGCTGAAGCCATGTTTCTACCAAGACTTCGAAGCAGACATCCCTCCCCAGCATCGCAGCATGACCAAGCGCCTCTACTACCTCTGGATGTGTGAGTGCTGTGGGAATGGGGGTGAAATAGGGTAGGTGGAGGCAGGAGGAGGACTGGTGGGGATGCTGGGCAGTGGAGTGGGTGCCGCAGGCCCAGCTGTCCTTCTGCTCTTCCCTTTACGTCCGTGTGAGCCAGTGAATCTTTCCCCACTAGGCTCCCAGCAAGCTTTTTCTTTTTTTTTTTCTTTCCAGCAAGCTCTTTCTATGGGCCAAGTTCCCAGCTAAGCCTCAGTTTCCCTAGACTCCAGCCCTCAATCTAGGCCTCTCTTCCCTTCTCTCCCCTCTCCATTTCCCATTCACAGAGCATCTGTTGGGGACCCTTTGTGCAGTGTGATTCCTCTGTTCTCACCCCCCTTTTCCTACTGGAGCACTTCTCCAAGGAACCTCTGGCAACTGTCAGAACCTCAGGATTCTTGATTTGGAAAGGAGTCCTTCCCTCAAAAAACCTCTTTTTCTTTTTTACTTTCTCTGGAAGATTGCTCGAAGAGAAGAGCATTCATCTGGGAGTTAGGTGGTATGGGATGAGTTTATTTGGTTGCTGCTTTTGGAGCAGCAAATGCCTCATTCCCAGGAAATAGTATTGGCTCATGACAGCTGTGGTTCCCTGTGGCTCTGCATCACAGGGCCTGCACTTCTTTTTTTTTTTTTTTTTGAGACAGAGTCTCATTTGGTCACCCTTGGTTGAGTGCCGTGGTATCTTAGCTCATAGCAACCTCAAACTCGTGGGTTCAAACCAACCTGGGACTACAGGTGCCTGCCTCAAGCCTGGCTTTTTTTTTTTTTTTTTTTAAAGAGTCAGAGTTTCATTTTATTGCCCTCGGTAGAGTGCTGTGGCATCACACATCTCACAGCAGCCTCCAACTCCTGGGCTTAGGTGATTTCTCTTGCCTCAGCCTCCCAAGTAGCTGGGACTACAGGTGCCCACCGCAATGCTCGGCTATTTTTTGTTGCAATTTGATGGGGCCGGGTTTGAGCCCACCACCCTCGGTATATGGGGCCGGTGCCCTACTCCCTGAGCCACAGGCACC